GCTAGCAAAGTCATCAAAGAATGTAGTTATTGCTGCTAAAGAGAAGAATAAATAACAAATCAATTTTGCAGCTCTCTCCTATTACTACATCCTCTTACCTCCAGAATGTGGCCTGCGATTGCACAAGAGGCTAGGTTAAAATCCGGTTGAGTAGTTTGCAGCCAGGTGTTCAGTACAGACCTTGCCAATGTGATTTTACTAGCCCAGGAAGGGATAGGAAAACCCAAGGAAAACTTTGCAATCAATAAACCATGGTGGACTATGCTTGTTTTGCCCTATTTTGATTCTCCTCCCCAGCAGCAGCCCATCGATTTTAGAACTGCATGGCCAAAAGACAGAGGCCATACACCCCCAATCAAAGGGAAAATCTGAATCCAGTGGGCCAGAAGGCAGCCCAGCCTCCGCACCCCTCTGGTTCCTTCTCGCCCCCTGGGCACAGATGCCGATGCAGCTCCTTGCCATAGCTGGGACGGGACTTGCAAGTACCTCCGTCTGCTTTGTCCTGCAAGGCAGTGCTCCCCCAGTGCTCCCGCCCACCACCATGCCGGCAGCCCCGACTAAAGGCTGAGCACTCCAGTCTCGGCCGGCCAAGGAAGGGGGTAGCAGCTGAGACTACAGCAGATTTTCAACTTGTCAGCAGCTCTCAAAGGCTGCCCAACTTTACTCCAGAATTTCAGGGTTGGAAAGCAGAGGGGCAGCGCTGCATTTGCAGGCCTGGCAACACCTGCTGGAAAGCCTCCTGCTCCCCCCAGTACCTACCTCCTTTGCGGTCTTCCTGTTGCCGCCGGGCCTGCCGGCATAGGTCCGCCCGCTTCATCCTGCAAAGCACGGCTCACCCAGCATTTCCCATTTTCACACACACGTTACTCCAATATCCTCCCCATTCACACACAGACATTCCTCCAATATCCTCCCCATTCACACACACACACACACACACACACACATTCCACCAATATCCTCCCCATTCACACACACAAATGTTCCTCCAATATCCTCCCCATTCTCTCACACACACACGTTCCTACAATATCCTCCTCATTCACACAAACATTCCTCCAATATCTTCCTCATTCTCACACACACGTTCCTCCAATATCCTCCACATTCTTACATACACATGTTCTTACAATATCCTCCCCATTCACACAAACATTCTTCCAATATCTTCCCCATTCTCACACACACGTTCCTCTAATACCCTCCTCATTCTCACACACACGTTCCTCCAATATCTCCCCATTCTCACACACAGACATGTTCCTCCAAATCCTTCCCATTCTCATGCACATGTTCCTTCAAACTCCTTTTTTTTTTCCCTCTCTCTTTCTCTCTCTCACCGACTCTGTGACAAAAGCCTTTTCTCTTCTGCCTCTTTCTCCGGAGTCTTTTCTTCTCTCCCTCTCCCACCAAGCCTCTCCTGTCTCCACCCCCTCCTCCTTTCTCTTCCAGGTGAGCCAGAAGTGCCGATCCTGGGGCCTTTGTCTCGCCCCAAGCAGCCCTGCAGCTCCTGATGACTCTCTCACGGAAAGTCTTGTGCTATGCCACTTTGGCTCATTCCCTCCCCCGCTACCCTTGGCTGGGTAGGGCCGCGTACCATCTGCCATGTGTCAATGTACCACCGATGGTACGTGTACCACCAGTTGAAAAGCCCTGATCTATACCATTGCAGAGTTTACCATTTGCTTGTTGGTTATGCTACTTTGCTTGCCATGTTTCTGTCTATAGCAATTTCTACTACACCTACAATTGTATGTAATACGGTGGGATTATTCGCTGTAAATGAGCATTGTTTAGGTATAATACTAAGGTATGGTTAAAATTAATCATAAAATATCTGAGGTGAGTTGTGCGGCTTGTTTTTGTTTTTTGAATTCTGCTTAAGAGATGAACAATACTACATTGGCAGTATTCAAACAATCCTTCAGAATTCTTGAGGGTTCCCTAATGAAATGGCTTTTTTAATATAACTTAAGAGAAGGGCTGGCACAAATTTGGTTTCTCTAAGTTTAGTAATAGGCTTCAACATGCTGTTTAAAGCAGGGGTCCCCAACCCCCGGTCCATGGAACGGCACCGGTCTGCGGCATGTTAGAAACCGGTCTGTGCTAACAAGCGAAGCCCCATCCGCGGGATGCAGGCAGCACATGAAACCACGCCCCTTCTGGTCCATGGAAAAACCTTTCTCCACAGAATCGGTCCCTGGTGCCCAAAAGGTTGGGGACCCCTGGTTTAAAGCACTGAAGATTTCTTACATGTAGAGTTCAAGATTCTTTATAGTTCAGCTAAGCCTGCCGTTTAAAAAATTGCCTACTTTCCCTCAGGTACTTAAGATATAAAATGCTATCTCCAAGGGATCAAAGGAAAAATACTTTAAATTCCTGCATCTGGCCATGTAAATGATTTGCATTGTACCAGTGTACTAGTAGATTTCTTAGGTGTTTTTCCTTTCCCCCCCCTTGAACAAAGAAATATACTGCTGTATATATAATTGTGTTGCTGTTAGCAGTGAAATCAAAGAAATCACAATGGTTCCTTTTCAACAGATTAATATTATATAGTAATTATATAATGAGCTGAATAAAATGGCCACAGGAGTAATTGCTAATACGATTTTTCATGTTTTCTGATTTTGGTCTAAATCAAATTGATACATATATGTGTGTCTATTTCCTATTGAGACATACATTAGTTTCACACTTCGGTTTAGTAACATACAAATTGTAGTATTTTGTAAAATGGAAACTTAGGAGATGTGCATAAACTACTTTAGATATTGATTATAAACTATAGAAAAATAAATTAACCTTAATTCCACTATCCTGTGATCCTCACATAATTCTAGACACTTTGATTCAAAAGCATTTTATTTCAATTTAATGAGTTTTACTCACTGCAATGCAATTAAGATCCATTTTCAGAGATTTTATGTATGTACATCATGCTTCTTGCCTCACTTTCAGGAAGCATGGCTGAATTGTGGTTCTCTTTATGTTGTCATTGCCTTTTCCCAAGAGTGATGATTGACAACAGCCTTCTCAGAGTGGTATCCTTGTAATGTTTTATTGGCTGCAAGTTTGTAGAAGGCTCTGTACTTAGAATGTTTAAATAACTCTATCAGTAATGAAATCAACACTAATCAGCTGTACGTCTTGTGAATACATTATTTATATATGCAAATATATACAGTACATACAAATAAGCAAAATAAAATTAGGGTGTATAGGAATAGATTCTGGAGTTCTGCCATAAATTTGCCATCTGACTTACAAAATGTCAGTTGATTCATGGTGTGAATTTATTGGTGAAAATATATACTATAAAATAGCATGAAGAAAGCATTTTTCATTTCTTTTTAGGTGATGTATAAATGTGCTACAACAAGCATTGTTTAGGAGAAATATTGCTGACTAAGCAGCAACTCTGCTGTCTTTTAAAATAGGGCCTGCAGTTAATTTTTATATACATACACACACACACACACACACACACATATATTCACGGGTACAGGTATGTAGGTCTTGGCGTATTCGGGTCTTTTCCCGTGTAAGATTGAGAGTATCTTGGCGACGTTTCAACGAGGTCCCACTCGTCATCTTCAGGCTGGGGTCTTCGGCTTTGTGCTTGTGCGAGCAAAGTGTGATCGGAGCTGCTGTCCAAGTTTTGTCCAAGACAAAACTGTTTTTAGTTTGCTTGAGGTTTTTTTTAAAAAAAATTCTTTTCTGATTTATTTTATTTGTTGTTAACTTTAAAGATTTGTTTAATTGTGATTTCTTTAATATATTTAGGTGTTATTTCAGTATTTGGTCAAGATAATACCCCTCTCTTTGTGTTTGATCCAGGGACCTCTGAAGATATCGGGATTGTGAAATCCCTATCAGGGCTTGCTGGGATCCTCTCAGCTTCCCATAATGCCCTGCTAGAGTTTAGTTCAGCCAGATTCTTATTTTGGAGTTGTTCTTATTAGCTGTTTATGCATAGCATAGATTTGCATTGCATTTGGATCCAGTGAGTGTTCACAAATAACTTGGTTGCACTTCAGGATAAGAGGATATAGAATTAAATAAAAACATAATGGTCTTTAAAGGAAGATTCAAAGATAGTAGTTATTATCAGATCTTAGAATGGCAAACCTGAGAATAAAAAGACATACTGGTGGCCCTCATCTTACAATCGTTTGTTTAGTGACTGTTTGAAGTTACAATGGAACTTAAAAAAATGACTTACGATCATTTTCACACAACCATTGCAGCATCCATGTCACATGAACAAAATTCAGATGCTTGGCAACTGGCATGTATTGATGACAGTTGCAGCATCCCAGGGTCATGTGATCACCTTTTATGACCTTCTGACAATTCAATGGGGAAGCCAGATTCACTTAACAACTATATTACTAACTTTACTGCAGCGATTCACTTAATAACTGTGACAAGGTATGTTGTAAAATGGGGCAACTGTCTTTCTTAGCGATAGAAATTTTGGGTTCAATTGTGGTTGTAAGAGAAAATTGGGGGGAAACTATTTTAGAGCAAAAAGTAAGGCAACAGAAAATGTAGGGCCAAATTGGGAATATGAAGCCATGCAGAAAGTAACTCTTTTTTCCAGTGGCAAATGCAAGACATTTGATGTAGGTGGGGGCTGTAGGGGAAACAAAAGGTAACAATCTATTTCCCATCCCAAACCCCATCCAGATTCAGATCAGAAAACTATGCCCTCCATTTACTCAGTTACGAATTCACTTCTCGTATGTTAGAAAGTAAAAGCAAAGAGAGACAATGAAGAGTTTAGAAGAAAAAAAACGGAAAATATGCTGTTCTGCTTCCCCACAGACAGGAAACTACTGTTTGAATTTAAAAACTAGAAGTTTCACATACTGTGTTACAGGGCACCATGTATACAAAAATAAGAAATGAATTGTTGACTAAGCAATTAGATGTAGAGCTGATTGTTCAAGTATTGAAGAGAGATAATCAGTTGAATACTTGTTCATTCTTTGCAGATTACTCAGGGCGAACTCCAGAAGTCATGCTCTAAGCCTCTAGTAGAGAAGGCTACAGATAATTGCCAGCATATCTGCCAATGTAGACCACCTCCATTACCACCACCGCCACCTCCACCGCCACCACCAAGGTTGCTTGGGGTTTCATGTAAGTAGAGGTTACCACTATTTTTTCTCTATATCCAGACAAGCCTAGGAGCATCTGAAAGATTATTCAACCACTAATTGGGAAGAAGGTAATGTTTATTTAATGGGTAGGTAGCAATATTTTTCTAATGAAGAATGGGAAAATAGTCATGACTCAGACAAATTTTGATTGATTAAGGTTATTTCCTTAAATATGCAAGTTAACATGCAAAGTCTTGAATAATGCCATATGGTAAGAATGGTATGCAATGAATGTGCCATGATCTAGTATGTAAATAAGTTTATAGTTTTTATAGTTTCCCCAATTTATATTGTGTCACACTTAATTTTATGCATAGTTTTGTGTGTGAATGCATCTGCATCCATCTGAGACTCCGGGAGGAAATAGATTATCTAAACCCTTTCAAATCAAATTTCAGCCCTGGATGACTTGTATTTACAACATCAGAATATAAATGATGCCCAGTTATATATCATGATATATCACGGAGCTGAAGTCCACAAGTCTTAAAATGGCCAAGGTTGGAGCCCCCTGGTATAGAGTACAGCTATTCCAAATAGTGATGGAAGTATCAAAGTTCCCTTATATAATCTTTCTACTTCAAGAGCCCCACTGGATATTAGTTGAATGTGATTGAAAATGCTGGTTCTCTTGTTTAAAGGACCTGGATATCCACAGGACCAAATTCTCCCTGTAGTTTCTCTCCATGTGGTGGGATCATAGGGGGACCCTGGAACCCCCACAGAGCGCGTCCCCGGGTGGCGGATTGGGAGGCCCTACACATTATGGCTTTTTTATTGTAATGGCAGATTGGAGGGAATCAAATACCTCCCGTAGATCAACAGGCCTGGTGAGTGGCATGGCTCCCCAGTATTGACTGAAGGCGGAGACCATATTGGTTGGAACGGATTCAGAAGAACAGCACATGGTGTGGTGGCAGCCACTTGAACAGCATGTGCACAGTGGTGTAAAAAGCAAAGGGAAGACTACTACACTATATATTTCCCAGGAAAATCATGTTAATGGCGGCAAAACCTAACAATGGCCCCAAGTACAGGCGGCCATTAAATGGGGCCAGGGGTGCTAAGAATCTCCCGGTCCGCTAGAAGCATGATAAACCCAAAACTACGATAGAAGAACATCGTGGCTTCAAAATCTAAGGGACTGGTTTGGACAAAACTCAGCAGCACTTTTTCGTGCGGCTACTGATAAAAACAGGATCGCCAACATGATCGCCAACGTCCGATAACGGATATGGCACAAGAAGAAGAAGGTAGATCATAAAGGGTAGGCTGTCTCTGGTTCTCTTCTCTTAGGCATTGTCATCTCCAAGGGCCATGGAATACAGCTTTTTCAATTTTAATCACCTCGTCTTTGGAACAGTGTATTTCCCAAAAATAGACAAACTCCCATTAATATATGGTTTTTAAGAGAGCCCTGGAATGGAACTATTATATGTAGCTTTTTTGTTTGTATGTTTGCTTGATGCTTAATTTTCCTCAGTGCTGAAGGTTTTATAATTTCATATGCAACTTATGCTGTTTATTCTGATCTTTATCTTTGATATTGTAAGAGGGGAATGGAAGATGCTCAGAGTCCTTCTGTGGTAAAGGAGGATATTAAAGAAAATATTTGGGACTTTCTATTCAAGTCTTATGGTATGAGGCAACCCATTAGTTTAAGTTTTCTGTAAATAGTTTTATCTTCTAGGCAAATTCTATGGTTAATAGCTTATGTAATAAGCAGCTACTTATTAGCCTTAGGAACACTGAATAGGTATTTTAAAAACAAGCAAACGGGCCCATTGTATTCCAGGAAGCCTCTGGAATGGTTCAGATGATTGCCATTCACATTTGGAAGAGTTTGGGATTTAAAATATGTGGCTAATTCAGCCCTTCTTCAATACATTTTTGTTGCTTGCCTCTGGGACTCATTTAATCTCTTTAGTATTGCAAGGCCCTGGATCTCTGTCCCAGTTTCTAAATGTAATGATGTCTTTACTTATTTTCAACTTGAGCCATGATTTGCTCCTTTTGCTAATTTAACCAATAAAAGTATATTCTGATAGTATACCATGATATCATATTACAAGTCATTGTATTGTTTAAGAAGAGTTTGTTTCAACTTCCAATTTTTAAGAATTCTGTGAGAGCCTAAGAGAGAATTCTACAACCAGGATCCCACTGAGAAATGCCTTTCCTCTCCCAAATCTTAACTGACATGCAGGATTATATGGGAGACAGCAATATTTTATTGTGGAATTCCAATAAACATCCTATTTAAAATATTGGTTACATATTTTTCCTATCTATAAAATAATAGTTGTCAGAATTGAAAAATTTAAATATTTAAATTATACACAGACAAAATAAAAAGCGTTTGAAGTCTTTAGAAACCTGAGTTTCTAGCCTGCTCACTCCTACCAGTCACTGTACAGAAGAATAGATGTACATAAATCTAATATCAAAATAGCAACATTGAGAAATCAATGAGAGACAATCTTATCCTCCCAGGATATTTCTTTGTTCCACTCAAAGGGGCCTGCTTCAACAAAAAAGGTCCAAAGGGAGACTGCAGTGCAAAACAGCTAAACCAGAATTTGTTTGCATATGTAATTGGATGGTGTTCCAACACAGATGAAGTGGGAATTATCTTTCCTGCTACGGAAAATAGTTGTCCTCTTTTTGGTGTCAGATTAGCAATATTATTGTCAATGATTGCTACATTTGCTTCTACATACAGCTGTCACAGGTATAGAAACTGTGTCTTATATTTACAAAATACCTCGGTACATATTTGTGTTTATGTGTCAAGACCAAGCAACATTAAGAAAAAATTCAGGCATTTAGAGCATTGACTTTTCTCTTAGTTATTTGTTATTAGACTTTGTTTTGCTGAGTTCAAATGGGCTGCCTCCCTCAATTTCTCACAAACCCAATTAAACCTCAAAGCAATTTTTTTCTTGCAACCTTTGTTATATTCTGTTTTGTGGCAAGTTTGCATCCAGCAATCCCCATTTCCTAAATAACTTTTCTCTGAGCCAGTATATTTTCTGAACACAGATACCCTTTGTTTTCTTCTATATATAATTACGGTATACCCAGTGGTGGGATTCAAATATGTGAACAACCAGTTCTCTGTTTCGATGCTGCTTCCGGAAGTCCATTCAAGGCCTGGGCAACAAAAAATTAGCTACCGGTTCTGCCGAGGTGGTGCGAACTGGCTGAATCCCACCTGTTATGTCCTGGGCCTGTGATTGACAGAGCAGGTGTAGGAAGCTGCAGAGAGACCCGGGCAGACCATGTGGCTGCCCGGGCCAGACAGGCTGTCTCCAGCCTATTGCGCATGCGCAAGGCGGGAAAGATACGTTGCATTGATTGGTTGATGCTACTCCCTGCAAAAGGGTATAAAAGGGATCTGCGCCATTTTGTGTTGTTCTGTTGAAGCTTGAATAAAGACGCAACTGTTGTTACACCTGTCTCGTCTCAATGCCTTACCAACGCACAGAACAGAACACCACCACTGATTATACCCCTGTGCATGGGTTGTGTGGTATTTCAAAGCTTTGAGATCGCATTGTCAGTGCATATCTCTCACCCCTCTCCAAAGTTTTTCAAACTTGGAATTATCAGACTGTATGGACAAAGACTTTGATCTGGATAAATAAAGCCTTCCATTAGATATTATTTTGTCTTTAACAAGCAACAGGAATGGCAACTAGACCCAAACATTCCACAGTTAGCTTAATTCCAGCTGTATCATAATCTGCCAGGCTGGGAATGATAGCGGAGGAGGATTCTTCTTCCAATTTGTTAAGAGATTCTGGCTCAGGTATAAGTCTTGAAGCCAATCCAGTAAGATCTGGCAGAGCTTAAATGTGATTTAAAACAGGTGCAAGAAAAAGTCTCAATATGAAGAATGAATGTCTGCCCACGAAACAATTATACAAGTCAATCACAATATTCCTATTTTACAAAAGGAGATGATTGTAAAGGACTGTAAAAAGAAATTAAATGGATACTTTGATAATAACCAGGGTAAAGGGACAAATCTAATGATTGTTTGGGATACTAGTAAAGCAGTTAACAGAGGCTATTTTACACAATATAATTATCTAGAGAAGAAGAAATCCCAGAAAAAGATGCAAAAGATATTGGATGAAATTGGAAAAAAAGAAATTGAATTGCAAAAGACAACTGTGGACTCTAAAATTTTACATCAAATTAAATTGTTACATCAACAATTGTGTGTGTTAACAGTTCAGGAAATAGAAACGGTGGAAATGGTGAAAAGAGTAAGGTTCTACATTTAGGCAAGAAAAACCAAATGCACAGGTATAGTTTAGGACAATGGTGGTGAACCTTTTAGAGACCGAGTGCCCAAACCGCAACCCAAAACCCATTTATTTATCACCGGGTGCCGGGTGTGCGTGGCCGACTGGGTGGGCATGGCCTCAATGGTCACAGCTGACTGGGTGGGCGTGGCCACGGTGAGTGTGGCCACCTCGATGATGCTTGTGGGGAGGGACACTTGGGGCAGGGTTGGGGGAGATCCAGGGGGTCTCTGGCGGGTGGGGTAGTGGACCAGAGGCTCGTCCTGCGGGGCAAAGCGAGGCAGGACAGGTGTGCCAATTGCCGCGGAGCAAGGCAAGGCAGGGGCTGGAGCAGCTGCTGCCTGATACCATCAGCCCCCACACACACAGAGGCCAGTGAGCGCATGGGGGCCGCCGGTGTCCATCAGCGGCCACAGCCTCTTGTATCATGGCAGCCCCATCGGCGTGAGCGGAGATGGCCCCAGGACGGCCGGGAAGGAGCCCTCATCTGGTGTGGGTCCTGTCTACATGGTGGCTCTGACGGAGGCAGCTGCTGCTGTTCTGAACCCCTTGACTCAGAACAGCAGGGAAGCAGGAGGTGGTGGCGGTGATTCCTGCATCGCCAAGCCCGGCCGGCTGCAGATCTGGAAGCAAAGCTGTGCCGACCATCCTCACGCTGGTGGGGGGC